CGAGAGAAGGTTGGGTCATAGGGACTAAACTTAGGCCATCAGTCTTTGTCACAAAGGCTACTCCCCTCCCCCCCCCCCCCTCTCTCCCATTCCTAAATGTTTCACTATTTTCAGCGATATTTTATTTATCATATTGATTGCGTTGTTAAGTGCTTATTTGCAACTTGTTTTCGTTATATACCATTGCTAGTGATACTTTTTATTACATAATTGTTTGTAAGTGAAGGATTGCTATGTATCTTTATTTTATAAAGCCCACAAATGTGTTATTAAGTAAGGTTTCTTGTTCATCTTCAAAACGATTAAAAATATTTAGTGTGTTTTAATATGCTGTGCTTCATCACATTTAAGGTTACTGCATTTTTTCGATTATTCATCTGATTTCTATAGTTTCATTTACAGGGGACTTTTTTGACAATAGATGATTAAATTCCAACTCTGGTACTCAGTGAATACTTTTTTATTATTATTTATGATTTTTAGATTATTCAGAAAACATCTCGCAATAATTAGAGTTAGTTTTTTTTTAGGAGATTATTGAATCTATGATACTTTGGTATTTTTTCATTTTGCTCAAATATTATCCACAGAATGTTTACCTACATCTATCTCTATTATTCATTGCCACACTCCCTTTTTTCTTATTTAAAACTATATGTTAATTATTAGCTTATAGTATTTTTACATATCATGTTAATATATAACAGTAACGACTAATTAATAAAAAATTATATTAATAAGAATAGATAGTATCTCTAGAAAAAAGTCAAACCACTAGAGTGTAATTGGTTCCGTTTTTTAAGAAGCCTTTCCCTTAAAATGCAAGCGTTATATGTAAAAGCTTACTATATCAAGTTCCTTTAGTGTTATACATTAAAGTTAAGTTGATCTAAACTATTAAAATAATTTATGTCACCTACATTATTACAATGTATGCCCCAGCTTTGAAATGAAATCCTACGCTTCTCTCAGAAAGATTTAAAATTAAGACCATACACACAAAAGGAAAAGGAAAATAAAATGAGCTTCACAACAAAACTTAGTATGTGGTGGGGAAGTGTGGTTACTGGTACTGAAAGCCTTTTTGGCAAAAAGAAAAAACGCATTATTACTCATGAATACTATATAGGTACACCTCCAATGCCTCAATTTTGTATGGATGTTCCTCCAGATGTTTTAGGTGAATATAATGTTCTTCAATATGCTGATGGGACCCAAGATGTTGAACAGGAAAGTATTGTACCGATGAATTCCTCAGTAATCCAGCGAGAACATGTGTAAAAAAGCTCTAAGATTTGTATCTAAGGTATATGGAAAATATACAATTGCCGACAGATAAAGCGCTAAACTTTATCATGAGGTAAAGAAATTTTATCGAATTTTTCCTCTCCATCGTTATAAAAATTGTTAATCTACTTTAAAAAAAAATCATTGTTGTTGCGCATTATTTTGAACATCTGTATCTTGATTATAAAAATATATTTTTCTTATTTGGTAAAAAGCGAAAAGAATTTATTTTTCAAAAATCTTGATTTACTTTTTTTGTATTATATTGTTTGCCAAAATTTCTTACTTCTTTTTGGTACTGCCAACACTAAATATATAAAGATTTATGAACCATTGTGCTGCTTGTAACGATCAGCCTGGAAGACTCACGCAGAGTTATAATAAGTTACACCAAAGTTAATATGTTATTGAGTTTCTTTCTTTTTACTATAGCTGATGTGTGTGGGATACGTATTCGTCTATATTTATGAAAATTTTATAAAGGTAGGTACTCAGTCATATATTTCTTTTCATATATAAAATCAATATACTGATTCCTTACATTTCATTTTTCAATATTCTTATCTCATATATTATGTCATTTAGTTTCTGAAAAGGCTAGAATATCTTAGCTATAGAGAAAAGTATTATAAAGGGAAAAATGGGACGTGGTTTTGGTCGAGGTGCCAAAAGCGTAGCAATTGTAACACATGCTCAAATAGGAAACAAGGGGAAAAAAACCCCAAAAGGCCTTCGTGGAGTCCGTCAAAAAAAGCGCCAGCGCTATCAGAAAAAAGATGATCAAAGTTTGTTAGAGAAATCTCTAGGTTTAGAGAATCAACGTTCGAACGAACCAAAAAGTTTAGCACGGGAAATTGCGAGCATACAGTTTGCTCATGTAATCAACAAACGCCAAAAAGGCTTTAAGGATCTACGCAAACAAATTATGGGCGCTGTAAAAGTTCTTCGACGGAAATATTCACAAAAAGGTTCAAGCTAAGTACGTTATGGATCAAATGCTCTCCTAGAAACAGTATGAAACGCTTAAAATTTGATAAATAAAAGTTATAACAGAATGTCCCAATCAATGCAATGGCAGGTTAAAAGTGTGTGGGGAACATCCTACTGATATACTATGTGATGGAACAATAATAACACGTAGCTTACTCTATCCTATCTAGATGTATTTTCAATTTTCATATTGTCAAATGAGATAAGAAAACTAGCTATTTCAGGCAAATAGTTTATTAAAACATGTCAAGGTAGATTTAACTATACTCATTCTACTCCTTCCACTGACGAGAATACTGAATGGGGTAGCTACTCAAACCTCTTAATGTAGACTGAAAAATCGATAGATGGCAGAGCTTGATCTTACTTTGGTTAAAACAATAGTAAAAGGGATTGTCAATGATTGTATGGCGGAAACTAGTCTCAAGTATCAGACCATATTGCAGACCTTTCGTATTATTTACCACTTTTTGGTAAAACTTCAGGCGTCGATGCAGCTACATCCAAGAAGTAGCGATATTAAAATTCAATCCTTTATTTCTGTCTGTAATATATATATATATATATATATATATACTTAGCATGTTTTGAAGAGGAAAACTCGGAAAATCTCCTTCGCTTAGATCTTGGTACCCCTTCCACGAAATTGACTTGAATAAACTGGAATTATGGATTATGGTGATCCAGGATCAAACGCAAATGGCCTATGAGTTATCCGTTAGAAACTGTTATGAGTGTAAATGGAATGAACAAAGCCCGACAATAACAATCTGAAGCTCAAGATTAATTGAAATCCTGTAATATGGGAATTATATGAAACTGAAGATTAATTTCCGCATATTTTTCAAATGATACACTGATATCTTTTCTGACCGAAAAGAATGCTTTAAATCAATCAACGTTTTACTAATTTTTAAATGAATTATCAACTATAATAAAATAAAACCAAACAAATTGGTTAAGAAAATGGAATAATTAAAAATACAAGGTCCTATGAAGATCGATAATTTGTGGCAATAGCATAAGTACCGCATGAAAAAAATTCTAGAAACGGTGCTAAACTATTTTAAAAACACTCCCTCTGTTGTGCTTTATGTTTCTCTTTGGGTAATAGGCAGGATAACCTTTAGCCAGATACATATGGAATTTCCTCGAGGTGAAGAAAGCGGATACACGCAAGTTAAGAACAGCTACCAAGAAAATGTTTCAACTGCTACGGGTTGATTATTTTGAAAAACTTAGATGCTTAATTTTAGATTTACTAGAAATGCATGATGAAAATGCTAGTAAAATCACTATAAATTGAATACTCAATACTATATCTATATGGTATCATAAAAGTAAAATACAAATGAAAAATATTTCGAGTAATAATTCAAAAGATTCCTATTCTTATTAATTTACAATTCCACATATCGTTAACTTTATGCACACAACCACTA